GTGAGAGCCTGGTCCGGTGAGAACCCGGCGTGCTCCGTCCCGGCTTTGTAGGGATGCGAGGTCAATGGTCTAACGACTACGGCATGCACGACTATGAGTACCCCCCCCCCCCCCCGTTTCTCTCGTGCCACGCTGAGACATTGTTTCAATGGTCGGCCGGTTACAGCGGTCGATCCTAATAATACGACACATAACATGACACATAACATGACACACGCCTCCATCCTCGTCCTCCTCGTTTTCGTCGTCGTCGTCGTCGTCGTCGTCCCCCTCCCCCAGGCCATGCGAAACACCGTGATGAAGGAACCGAACTACGTGATGGAGCCCGCGGAGTCGGTGGCGTCCTCCGCTGTGAAGACGGCGATCGACCTTAGGGCCGCCATGGTGGTGGTGCTCACGGAAACCGGTACCACGGCGCGCCTGCTGGCCAAGTACCGCCCGGAAGTGCCCATCCTCGCTTTCACGGCCGCCGCTGACGCTGCCAGGCAAATGAACGGGTACCTGAGGAACGTGCAGTCACAGGTAAAGAGATCGCCCCGGTGGTCTAGTGGGTAACCTCGCAGCCTGCTACGGCGCAGGTTGAGGGTTCGAGTCCCGGCAGAATGAGTTTTTCTCACTAATTGAATCCTAGCCTCCGTTGGAATGACGCGCTGCGAAGCTCGTTGTTAGTAAACTTGGTCGACTTCATTCACGAGTCGCGAGCGAAGGGATTGCTGTACCTTTCTCGCGACAAGGATGTCTCAGGCAGAAACCGCAGGAGGGGGTTCAATCCCTCCCTCCTTCGTGACCCAGGTTGGGTCGTCTAGCCAGTAGAAGTGGAGGATGGGGGCCAGAGGGGTAGACGACAGAGTCCAATGGTAATGTAGGAGAAAAAAAAAAAATGTACGAGCAGAACGAAGTACATAGCGCACATATTGATGCCGCCAGGCAAATGAACGGCACCTAAGGAACGCGCATTGGACGTGTGTCTTGTGCGTTGCCACGGATTGGACCAGCGCGTACCCGCCAGAAATGCTGTAAGCAGCGCTGGTTTAAAGTTGCGGGAAGAAAAATCCAATGTATATAATCGTGTCTGTTGCGTGTAGGGAGTGCGTGCGTCCCGTTTTTTTACCCTGAGCAACGAACCTTATTGTGTAACCACGGGTTGGAGTAAACGGCACAAGTGCTGTGAGCGCTGATATGAAGTGAAGACAGGGAGAAAAAAAAACATGTCACGTAAGCACGCAGATGCCTTTGCGGTGCGTACCCCTCTTTTTTCTTGTGCGTTACTGTCTTAATTGTCTTGAACCCATCACCACCGAGAGGCCCCCGAGCCCCGTTCGGAGCCCCGCCGAATGCTTTAGGCGAAAAGCCAAAGGAAGCTTTAGCTTCATGTTTGAGCTTTGGCGACGGTAGCCGTGCTTGGTGTGAGTACATGCGGTGATGGGTTTGTTTGTTTCTCTTGTGCCCTGGTCGTTGGCCTTCATGCGAGTCATGCTCGGCGTGAATCCGTGCGATGATTGTTTCTCTTTTGCTTCTAATGTCGTTGGTCCATGCGTTGATGATGGTTTTTGTTGTTGCTGGTGCATGCCTCGATGATTGGTTGTTTTTTCTTGTGCTCATGTTGTTGTGTCGCAGGTGATCGGTTCCATGATCGGCACGGACTCGATCGTCTTCCGCGCGATCGACATCGGCAAGCAGAACGGCTGGGTCAAGCCGGGGGACAAGGTGGTGTGCATCCACGGGATGAAGGAGGCCACCGCAGGGTCTACCAACTCCATGCGTGTTATCATTGCGGCGTAAAGGAGACCAGACGAGACGAAACGAGAGAGGGAGACCAACCCCGGTGTATCGTGATGCCAACCATGTTTTGATGGCTCCGCGACGGTGGAAAGGAGGTTACTGTAGGCCGGGGGGCACACGACGGCTCCTGTTGAATGAAGTTTTGTCTCCTTGCAGTTGAGCCTTGTTGTCGAGAACAACTTAGGGGGGGGGGAGTGAAAGAGGGGATACGTACAATAGTTCAGGAGATGTTCTTTTTTTCCGTTTCTTGCTCCGCGTAGATGCCAAGGCTGACGTACACCGGTGGTCACGAGCGCATACGTGCGCGGCTCGAGAATATCTCGCTTTCTTTCTTTGCGACGAGAGCACACACACAGGCGACGTCCCCCCCCCCTCACGCTGCCCGCGTGTGTAGAAAAGTCCAGACAAGGTGGGAACAAATATGTCCTGTTTGTTTGGTATCAAATGGCTCGCTGGCCGAGGCGCTGTTGCAGCAGACCATACTGTGTATGGTAAACAGCGTGCTATCGTTAGACGCTGTTGCGCGTAATTGTTGTTGGTGTCGTGTCTGGGCGGGAAGGGACACGGGATAGCTTGCTAGAAGTTGTTCCTGAGATAGGGGGTGGGTGGTTAGTGGCGAAGCTGGCGGAGATGAGATGTTTGTTTTCCAATGCCTTTGAGGTTGATAATTCTTCGGGGAGAAAAAAGTTTGGAATATCGCCTCGAGTTTGGTCGTAGTTTCTCTGGTTAGAAAGCTGATGACTGCTGCAGGCATTCATTCACGCAACCCTCTGGATGCGATGGACCTTTTGGAAATATGTTCAAAGTTCTCTGTCCGGACCAGAATTTGGAAAAATTCCATAGGGAAGCTCTCTCTCTCTCCAACCAGGGACAAAAGACCATGTGAATGTTCTCGTGCATTTGTTCCACCGAATCCGCCTGGGCACGCGCTTGCTGTATACCTACCGTCCTTGCCTGAGGTAAGACGGGATTGGGAGATCAATGAAGGACGATGACGCCGGGCCAACATTTTGTTTCCTCATTTAATCATCTCTGCTACCCATTGCTGCACGTGGTTTTGTCGTGGACGATGAAATATTTTGTGGTGCCCCCCTGCATGCATTTCTTGTGTCGAGGGTGTCAGAGGAGGCCTTGGATTCGGGGCACACAACAATAACAGTGTTGCCCTTCCACCCAATCCCCGAGCACCGATCGATGTCGTCATCCATGTCATGTCCACTGACGACGCGTACAACACTGCACCCCGTGTCATGCCCGAACGTACGGGACCCGTTCTATACAACATCCACCACCCCAGCCAGCATTCTGCGGGACTCCCCCCTATAGCTCGATTCTTGCGAGTTGCGGCAGCAGCACCACCACCAGTTATAGTTGTGAACAGATCGCCTATCCCCACCGCGAATACCAGGGCGCAGGCCCGTTCAGAGAAAAGGTGGTTAACTGTAGAGAGGTGGCCAATAGGCGTTGACGTTTACAACGAAAACTAAACAAAGATAAAAGGCAAATATATGCCGTGTAGTCGAGGGCGAAAAAAAATTTCATCGTTCCACAATCCCCTCTTAGCAAAATAACTAGTGCATTGCTGCTCTGAGATTACGACACCGAAGCAATCTGTGACGAAAGAGGTGGAGGGGGGGGGGCTCCGTGGTTGCGTAGGCCACTACAGTAGTGGTAGAGTTACATCCGAACACCAAGCTTCCGATGCTGTTGTGTTGGGCACGGATGCGGACGGACGTGTTCATCCCTCAGCTGGAGGTGTTCGCTTATTTCTGACCCATCCACGTGCGTGGGTGGTGCCCGAGAGCATGCGTACCGATATCAAACAACGCTCGGACAGCTCTGCGTACGGACCCTATCAAAGCACCAGCGACGGAGAGGAGGAGGAGGCAACAGGCAACAAGGTGACCAACCTCCCACCACGACGAGACAATATTCTGCCGAGGGGGGTCGCTCTACATGGTCTCGTGTGCTCGTTTTCTGTTTTTGGTTGTTGGCGCGCGCTCAGGGTGGGTGGGGGGAGGGGGGGGGG